TGTTGCAGTAACTCATGTTTTTATTGTTCTTTAACTGCTCCAGCAAATATCATTCACTCTAGTGCAGCCTTGCTCGGGTGTGGTGGGTTGTTACAATGCTGTATGTAGTTAGTGCTATGAGCTTAATAGGATGCCTGTAGTAAAGAAAATCTGAAAAGGAGGTGTGAAAACAGAAACAAGGGGATGTGGAAATCCAGCACTGCTGTCAGTGAAGTGGAATTGCCAGCTGGAAGGAAAAAGCCTGAAATTTAGTTGCTGTCTATATCTATTTTCTGACACTGTGTGTTGAATTACATCTCTGGCATTTGCATCATTGTGGGTTATCTGGATTTTCCTGTGTGTTGCTACAGCTTCATAAACTTGGGGTGCACTGGGCATGGATGCTGACAGGCCCTGGAACAGTGCCATGCTGTCAGTGGCTGATTGAAAAGGAGGTGTTTTCTCTCACTTTAGCAGGGATGATGATATCGAAGTGCTTGCAGATGAAACCTCTGACACAGCTGAGGAAACCTCTCCGGTGCGAGCTGTCAGCCGGACATCCAGGTTTGTGACCAAGAGATTCTTGTAGCATGTCACTGAGGAAGAACAAGGGGCATCATAGAGCTGGAGCAATGGTGGGAATGTAACTCAGGTTTCTAGTTGCCTTTAGGTAGAACACAGTTTATGCTTCTACCAGACCAGTAGGAAACTCATGTGCTGTACTGTCTGTTGCCATGCTTTAGATGTGCTGGTTTTCCTTTGCTGTTACCCTAGTACCTGAAAAATCTTTGTTTAATCTATAAAACAAATATTTAAAAACCATATAGTTAATAATGTGGCTATTACAATGACTGTTGTTTTATGCCTCCATTACTTTACAAGATAGCAATGTGATTATTGGTATCACAATAGCAACAGCTATTTGCAAGTAGCTGGGTTTGTATGAAATCCTGAAAATAATCTTCACCTAGATTAAATACATCTCATTCTTTTTCTAAAATAGCAGTGAGTGGAAAGTAAGAGGTAGTTACGTGAGATCATGGATTAATTTTATTGAAATTTCAGACTTGGCAGACTGTTCTATCTAAACCCAGCAATTCACAGGGTGAGGTTGAGGGACACAGGAAACTTCACCCACAAAGTGTATTCTGAGTGGTAGTTACTGATGTATTTTGCACTGCTGCCTGCCTTGGTGTTCCGTGTCTCTGGGCTGGGTCTGAGGGGAGGGAGTCTTTCCGGAGACATGTTGCTATGAAATGTGTTTGTATTGATCTTTATGTGGAGAAGCTATTCACAAGGTTTAAACCTGTCCTCCCCTCCTTCAGTAAGCGACTCTCCCAGCCAGCTGGAGGCCTTCTGGACTCTATCAGTAATATCTTTGGGTAGGTTAGAACACTTTCACCTCCTTGTTTTGCTTATTGGTTTCAATGTACACCAAAATCTTGGTGATGCAGGGAATGCAAACAAGTATTTTCAGCCTTCCTTCTAGCTTCTGCCTTTCTTTTTTTTCTTTTTTGTTCTCCTCAACTTCCTGTTTCTTCCATCTTGCCGTGTGCTGACCTCTGACCTTTCCCTCCAGTCTGTCTGAGTCTCCCCTTTTGGGACATCAGTCTTCTGATACTGCCAGGTGAAAACATTATCCGCTCTTAGTCCAGCATGTGATTGTATTCCATTGAAGTAACGTGGAACCCAGCTGCATTGTGCTGATTAGATTCTGCAGTTGAGAACTCTGGTTAGAAACTGTTGACAGTGAGAGAGGCAATGAGCCCCTCTTTGTACAGAGAATACATGGGGTTTGCTCTTACTTTCCACTGCACTTCGCTCCTTTAGTAGGGTTAATTAAAATGAGTCATTGGGTTCTGTGCTTTGTGTCCAGAGTGGAGCCAGTCCTTCTAAGCTAAGCTATGCAGTAGGTGGATGTCTTTGCTTAAATGGAGCAGCCCAAGCTTTGGAACAGAGCATCTTGCTGCTTGGGATGTAGTGCTGAAATGGTGTTGAGTCTTCCTAGACATAACAATGGAGCTGCAGCCAGTCCCATGTTTCTCTTCCTATTGAAAACATTAAAACACTGCTCCAAAATGAGGTCAGTAATCAGTTCCGATAACTTACGTGGTGATCTGTGAAGTATCTAAAGCCACAAGTGAATAGTGTTACATGACAAATGTAATTTTTGAAAGACAGGATGAAAAAAAGATATTAAAAGCACCTTCCCCCATTTTTTACTTTCTGTAAAGAGTAGTTAATTGACAGGTAGACATCAGGATGAATTCAAGAGAGTTCATTTCTCATTTTTAAATGTTTCTGCTTTTTTTCATCTCAGGAGGCGTTCTCTGTCCTCATTCCCTGCACCCCAGGATAACACAGAGCCACATCCAGGTGCCAGTAAAGAAGTGAGAGTGCCCACTACTGCCATATGTGTCTTTGTGAGTATGGAAGGAATTATCTGCTCTGCCATTCTTTGTTCTGGTTTTAGAGGGAGAGAATCCCCTGTGTGAGAATTGATATCTCAAGACTTTCTATTAGTGCTGCCAAACAGGAAGGAATTCTTGGTTTGGTAGAAGCATTCATTCCATTTAATTCTTACCCCACATGTTTCTCAGAGCCACTGTGTTTGATGTCTGTCTTACTGAGGTCGATGATGACAAAGAAGTTTTCTGAGGGCACAGGGAAATTCCACCCCATTGTCCCTTGGCTCCCAGCAGTCTCTATTCTGTCAGGCCATAGTAGAGCTGTGATTGGGGTAGAGATTGCTGACAGTTTGGGATTAATTCAGTTCCAGTTCTCCACAGTAAAGGGAGTTGTGGCACCAAATGTAATCCAACAAATATGATTAAGAGGAGCTCGTGGGGATGGGGTGTCTACATTATCTGTGCATGATCAAAGGTTTTCAAGCTGAGACCTCCTTTATGTGTTCTTTGGACTCATAAAGCCAAACTTAATTATTTGTACAGGGCATTGTCTTGTTACTGAAAGTAATTTGTCTTATAATTCAGCTGCTTGTTTGAACATGCCTCTGGAGCTTTTTTAGGCACTCCAGAGCTGGATGTGGATTTTTCATGGATATGAAATAACTGATTTTCTTCATTCAGAGTATTAGTGTGGCTCACTGCAGCAGGGAAGCATGTGTATTCTTGCCTGCCCTGTTTTCATATTCTGTAGTGGAAGTTGTGGATGGAGGGAGTAGCAAGTCACCTCAGGTGAGAGTAGGGTCATGACTGAAATGGCAGCTGGAGGTGGCTTGAATAGGGGGCATTAGGGGAGGAGGTGTTGGGCTTTAGCTCCAGTATTTTGAGCCCAGGTGGAGGGTCAAGACATGTCTAGGTCTGGCAGAGCATTCCAGGAATTAATGCAAGGGCTCTATGGCAGAGGTTTGGCAAATGTGGGGAGCAGACTGAGCTCACCTTTGGAGAGGCAAGTAGGAGGTGGAAACGGTAGTCACTTCAGGAATCATTCCCAGACATAGCTTCTAGGCAAGGCCTTTCACTAGTTTTGTCGTGAATGGCTCCTCTCCATTTGCAGAAAGATCAGATTTCAAGTGTGATTAGTCTTAAATATGAGCTGGCAGACCACATTCAAGCAATAGGTTCCATAAAAATACATATTTCCAGAAAAGCTGGATTTGAAAGAGCAGTTACTGAAAATACTTAAAAAATAATTATGATTGTGGTGGTAGTACTATGTGGGTAGGTAGTATGAAGCTGTGAAATGAATAGAGGAATGAAAAAGAAATTAATCTTAAAATTCTCATAGGTATTTAAAGTTCAAGATTTCAGAACATTAAACTGTGAGAAGCAGGGAGGCTGGGTGTCAGTGCATCTGCAGAGAAGAGTCACAGCTTAAGCTCAAGTCCTCTGCAAGCAGGTGCTGTCACACTTGTATTGCAGAATCACCAACACACAGAGTGAATGCAGTGCATCAGCTGTGCTGTTTCCTGGCAGACCTGCTTAACTCAAGCCTGACTTGATTGTTCCATGGTTGCATGAACTTATTGGATCATGTTCCATGGCTGTCTCTAGATGGAGGAATGAAAAGTTACTTTCCTTCTACAGCACATCACCTGTTACTGTTTTTGTCCTGTCCCCTTTCCTTATTTTTTTTTTCTGGTGTGACTTAAAACCCTAAGCTTAGGAAGCATTATAAGGCTTTTGGTAGTTTGGTATTGCTGCTGTTTTTCTTGATGTGCCTTTGTTTTTTCTTCAGATAAGGGTCGGCCTTTTTGTTGTCTGTGCACCACCAGCCACAGCAGAGTTTCAGTCTGTGGCTTTATTTCCTCTGAATGATGCACAGTTGTGATTCTGTGCAACCTTTAAGTTCTGTAGCTTTCTGATCTGTGGGTTATGGGTGTATGCTAATTCCCTTTTGGGTGGCTGTTCTGTTCCTTCCCCTCAGGATGCACATGATGGGGAGGTGAATGCGGTGCAGTTCAGCCCCGGCTCCCGGTTACTAGCAACAGGAGGCATGGACCGGAGGGTTAAACTTTGGGAAGTCTTGGGAGGTAAATCTTTTTTGCTTTGGGGTGTGGTGGAATGCTAAAAAAATCCTCATATTATGGGTCACTTTGTGCCAACTTCTGCTCTAATCCATTGCTCAAGTTTTGTTCATCTTTCTCTGTGCAGATAGGTGTGAGCCCAAAGGTTCCCTCTCTGGCAGTAATGCTGGGATTACAAGCATAGAATTTGATAGCGCTGTGAGTATCTGTGTAATATCCACTGTTCGTGGTTGGGAATAAATTAATGGAATTGTGTTGTTCTCTACTATTGTTTCCATTCTAATTGAAATTAGTTAAAACATGAAAGTAGCTGAAACTGTGCAGAAGATCTCTATTTGATAAGATGCAGTAATTCTGATCCTTGCTTTACAATTCAGATGATGATATGCAGCTCAGACGTTGGCTGTTACAGATTTTTGTTTAAAGTAAGAAATTAACATTCCACTGATGCTGGTATAACAGCACAGAAGAAGCAAATACACTGAGACTTTATTTCTGTGAAGTTTTTTTTTTTCCATAAGTGCTTTACTGAGGTCTGTGATGAATAGTAAAAGGTCTGATTATCCAAGACTTGCAGTTCCATGGCCTCTTCTCCCAGCAGTTTCTCCCCAGCCATGGCACAGCAATGGTGTGGCTGGCAGAGTGTTTGCTGACAGTGTGAGATGAGCTCAGGTCATGTTCACCTGGAGCAGCGGAGACATGACTGAGATCAGCATCCAACAGTCCTACTTGAAGGAGTTTTGGGGTCTTGGATTGGTCTAACTGGACATGTGATCTGACTTTTCTGCTGAGACCTCTTCCATAGCACAAAGCTAATATGATTTCTGCCATTTGGTGATTCTATGTGCTAAATTACACTCAAGAGGATCCTTCTTTTGGACTGACCAACTCATTAGAGATGTGGTGTTAATCTGCAGGTAAAACTAGTCCTGAGGTTTGGCAAGTGGCTTGAACACATTTGCTGTGAGACTTGCCCGTGTGAGATGCCAAAGGATTATGAGGATTCAGGAAAGTTTTTTGTGATGGACAGGAGTGCAAGCCTAAATTTTGTGGTGGCCATTCTCCATCATGATGATTTGTGGGAGCCCTAAGCCTAAACCATGAACAAGTCGATTTCTCTCTCCTCAGGCAGATTTAATTTTTGAAATCTTAGTTTTAAATGCTAGAATTTTAATGAAAATGGCAAGAAACAGACTAATTCCACTCTGAGACCTTTCTAAGCAGTGGGGGTCAATGCAGGGCTTTTTTCCTCTGGAAAAAAACCCAACCAAACAAAAAAGAGGAAAACAACTCCACAACAGATGAGGGTAAACTAGAACGCATTTTCTCAGTGCAGCAGAAGGGAAAGATGAATCTCCTTTTTCTGGTCTGGTTATTGTTATAATTGGTATACATTATTCTTGTTATAATCTATAGCCACGATTCTACAAACCCTTCCATTTTGGTGAGAAGTAGGTGCCATAGCCCTTTGGGAAGAGTTACATTAGCTTTCCATACTGGCATTTACTACTGTGGTTTTGGTTTTATTCCTTTTTTCCTTTGACAAAATAGCACTGATATGGTTTTAATGGTTTCTTGGAAATACTTGAATTTGGTTTGCATATTGACTCGCAGGAGGAATTTGAAAACAATCTTGTGTTTACAGGGTTCTTACCTCTTAGCAGCTTCAAATGACTTTGCCAGCAGAATCTGGACAGTTGATGACAATCGATTACGGGTGAGTCTTGCAAGGCAAAGCAGTGCAAGGTTGTTTCTGTCTTGTATTCCCAGTTTTGTCTAATGGGGACATGGCAATTTTGGAAGTTGGGCATTTACAGACCCTTTTAATAGTTCTTTTTGTTGAGAGGTTCTTTATCTCTTGAAGATCTTCACAGCAAGACCTAAAATACGTTCTCCACACAGGCTTGCAGGAAGCTCCAGTTATTGTGTAATTTCCCAATACAACTCCCCACTAGAAAAACCTTGCCATGTAAAGTGTATGTACACTTTTGTGTACCCCTCTGGGGAACTTTTAATGCTTATGATATATGGAGAGCCACCTCAATGTTTCAGCCTCTCTCAAAGGACAGGCTGTTGAAAAGAGCTTTGTGGAAGACAAAAAGGGACTTCTGTTTTAAGTCCCTTAAACTTAATGGAGCAGCATTTTTGAAAAGAAGCCCTCTGCCTGGCTGTCCAAGGCAGCATGCCTTAACATGTTGGACATCACCCTCAGTGTCTTTTGAACGGTTCCTCTTTTCCTCCCAAATACTTTGTACTCATATTCTTCTCTAACAGTTGGCTCTGATTTGAAAATAATCCTTTGATAGACCGAAAGAAAAGTTTCACAGCTTTCCAAGAACCTTTTTGATTGTCATTTCCTATGTACGCTTTTCCTCAACTTTTTATTTTAGTAAGATACTACTTTGACATTCAAATCTTCTGACATTTCAGTGTTGGTTATAACCAACAGATGCACTGTAATTCATTGGGTAGTTCTCAGAGATGTCAAGGAAAGATATCCTTCTACTTGGGAAAGTGAAGAGTATCATTTCTTCTGCACCTTCTTCTTGGCTGCAAAATCTATTATTGTATGTGAATTACAGTGAATACAAGTTTAGCAGACATAATTTACTCACTGCAAAAGGTTAGTTACACTTATAAACATTCACATAAATCTTCCTGTAATTCTTAGGAGTGCACTCGTTGTTTCTGAGATGAAATAGTCCTCTCCGTTTCAAGTGCTAGCACTGTGAACTTTTCATGGCTTGCACATAAGCAGGAGGTAGTAAAGATGAAATCACTGCAAACTTTGCCAAAACTCCCTGCATAAATGCAATACCTGTACGTGATATCTGTGCAGCAAGGGCAGAAGAAAGATGCAGAGTAGAAGACAGATCCTCCTTGCTGGAGTTTGTATTCCTTTGTTAAGGCAAAGTGGTCTTTTTGGGATGATGTTTTGTGTGTCAGGTTTGGGTTTTTTTCCCAAACTTAGCTCCCATTTCTTTCCATTCTTAAGGACTTCTATTTTGTTTTTCCTCAAGCCGAGATTGCTTTATATGATTTAATATTCTGTTGAGTATTTTTAAACAAATCTTAACTATCTACAAAGTTTGTCTTGTTTTTCATAACTCCTACTTTATAGTTCATTGTCCATTTTGTGATTTAGTATGTAAATGCTGAGCAATTCTGAGTCAATATGGTTCATGTTCTCAACCCCAGAGAGCCTCCCTCTGCACTTAAAGAAGCTGCTGTAGGGAGTTTTTTTGAAATCCCTGGTTGTCTCAGCTTTCAGGCTTTAAGATGTAATAACATCTGAGACTCGATACTGTTGTGTCCTTGAGGGAAGCTCCACAGAAAGCAGAAAGGCACAATTTCCATTTCCAGCATGCTTTAACCCCTTGGTTTGTCCTGCAAGGCTGTGTTGCAGTTGCCATCTGTCCATGAAATGTAGGTGTACAGAGTGTTGAGGAAGGAGCTGGCAGGTTCCTGAATAACTGGAGAAACTGCAGGAAAAGGTGACCTGTGTTTCCCAGCTCCAGGCTGGACTCTGATAATTAACACTCTTACTAAATGGTGATCTCTGTTTAACTGTAATAGATGTTTTTTCTGCCAAGCAATGCAGGAGACATGCAAATTACAATTTGAGAAAGTGGAAATAACTCAGATTGATGGTGTCAATCTCCTGTCCCCAGCACACCCTTACAGGTCACAGTGGTAAAGTTCTTTCAGCCAAGTTCTTGCTGGACAATGCACGTATTGTTTCGGGAAGTCATGACCGGACCCTCAAGCTCTGGGACCTCCGCAGCAAAGTTTGTAAGGAAGCATAACTTCTGCCTTTCATCCATGTCTTGTGCTTCTGCTGAATGCTCCTAGCAGTCTGGTGTCAGATCAATTATTGATTATTTTGCCAGTATAAAAATAGCAAAAGCTAGCAGTCATCCCATTTTCTAAGTGACTTTTTAAAGTAACTGAATTCTTTCTGCCTGTTACCTGGAATAAGAAATCCTGTGTGTTCAGGAAGCACTGTTAATGCTATTACACTGAGAGCAGCTGTTTTTGGGAGTGTTCTTTGTTTACCAGTCTGGGGATGCGTATTTTAGTCTTCCACTAAAAACTTGGAGCCAGGCCAGGTTTTTAACCCTGAGGTGGTTGGAAGTGTCTCTTGGAAACATACCAAAAAGATTTCACCGTCTCAAATGAAGGAATTGCTAGGACACAGGCTTTATTTTTGGGAAAAACATCTTATTTCTTTGGTTTTCTCCTACTGGGGGCTCTTAAACCTGCTTGCACTGAGAGAGCATTTGAGATTCAAAGTTACCTTGATACCTGAATTGCAAACATAGGTCAAGGAGACAGACTCATGCTGTTTAATAGTAGCAAATTATAGCTGGCTAAATATGAAGTGGAAGTAAAGCAGCTGTCATGGGAACATTTCAAGTCCCAGCAAAGGAGATTGAGAAGGGCAGAGAGGTTGAAGACTTAATCAGGATTATTTTAAGACTGTTTGCCCTGTGCCACTCCTTGGGCACTGCTCTGTGTGGCCACTGTATGGGTGGGAGAGGGTTTAGGGATTATTTTCTGTCTCAGTTTTCATTAGTTTGGACAATGTGAATTTAAGTGTGTCACCATTGGTTTCTCCTTTTTAGGTATAAAAACAGTGTTTGCAGGATCTAGCTGCAATGACATCGTGTGTACTGAGCAGTGTGTAATGAGTGGACATTTTGATAAGAAAATTCGTTTCTGGGACATCAGGTAAAACTATTGTAGGAGAGCTTATGGTGTATTAGTGGTTATGGGTTTGCTGTCAGGTTAATATGAAGTAGGAAACTTCTTCCTGAGCTTGGTAGCTGGGGAGACTGTTATAAAAGCAGCAAAAAGCCATTAAAGAGACTTTTGCTACTTCTTTTCAGGCTGTTTGATATTACAGGTTTGGGGTCTGTTTGGGGTTTTATTTTTTTTGTTTTTTGGGATGCCATTTCTTTTCTGGAAAGACGGCCTGCTTGCTGATAAGTATTTTTCATTGGTTAGTACTTGCTATTCTAGGGTGGGGTGGTGAGGAAAGTAGTTTCTTAACTGTTTGCTGGAAATGCTGTCTACAAGGTGGGATCTAGCTTGGGAAAGAAACAAAACGTAAGAATAAACCAGTAATCCTTTTTATTCTCTTCCATATTGGGACAAGTCAAAGTTTTGATGCACTGCTTTGGCTTCTGGACCCTCGTTCACTGCTTTCTGATTTTTTTTTTCTTTCTTGTTTCTGTCTTTAGGACTGAAAGCATAGTAAAAGAACTGGAGTTGCTGGGAAGAATCACAGCTCTGGACCTGAACCCGGAGCGAACGGAGCTTCTGACCTGTTCCCGTGATGATCTACTCAAGATCATTGATCTGCGCATTGGTGCTGTCAAGCAGACATTCAGGTGAGTGTATTCTTCACAGGAACACTGTAAATTTCAGTACCTCGTATTGTGAGTTACCCTTGGTGCTGGAGTGGTTTTCAGGACACTTTTTTTTTTTTTTTTCTACATGGCAAAGTTATATAGAATGTCTAGAAACATTAAAGATCTGCTCTAATGGATCTTCTCATGTTTCTCTTTAAAGAAGGCAACTTGGCTTATAAGTCTGTGTTCTAAAGGAATAGTTTCTTCAGTTGCCATTGAGAGAAGGGTGAATGAGAAACATGAATTAGGATAAAGGGATGCTGGAGCTTATTCTGAACTATGCAGAAGTCCTTAACATTGTCTTTAGTAAGCATCTCTTCTCATAAATGAATTAACAGTTATCTGATTCTAATTTTCCAGTGCCCAGGGATTCAAATGTGG